TCATCTATAACAAACATCTGTATCTTACCTCTGTCTTGTCATCTATAACAAACACCTTTATCTTACCTCTGTCTTGTCATCTTGATTTGGAGAGAACACTATGCACTAACGAGCCAGCTGCCTTTACTTACCCCTGGGCGGTACAAACTCCAAGGAGATTCCAGATCAATGCTTGGAGAAGATCGTACAGGATGGGTAGGGTCATCAGAGTCGCCACAGTAGGAAGGGTTGAATCGGACTGGGATCTGATTTTTGGGGTAGACGACTGTTTCATCTTCCCGGTGGACGCGGTTACTCATATCCTGGTAATTATTCTCCTTAGAATGAGCTTGACGTCTGCTGGTACAGAAAATAATGTCAATAAACAATAAACTAGTGTCAAACACAAATGTAAGCCTGCATGAACTAAATTGCTCTTTCTCGACAAATTAACAACATATATAGTGGAAAATTAAAAGAATATTACATATATAAACCGAAATAAATATACTGACACCCTGATATATTGTCACCTGTACATATTGACACACAATGATGTAGATATTACAGCAAGCAACATTGTAGAAGTAAACACTTTTGTACTACAACCAAACAGGAGAATTTCTCCTCACGAAAAACTTCCACTTTTATTATCTGCTGTTGAACTTAACTTAACATCTGTGAAATTGACGAACCTTTTGAGAACACATAAGATTATGACAACTGCAGCGACAAAGAGTGCAAGGGAGGCTCCAATGCCACTGATAGAAGTGGTGGTAAAAAATCTGCCCTCTGTAACAAAAAACACAGGGTCATAACCATGATTGGTCATAAATACAAAACACAGGCTAAAAATGATGGTTATTACAAAACATAGGCTAAGAATCAAGGCAATTACAAAAAACAGGCTAAAAACCATGGTCATTATAAAACACAGACTAAAAACCATGGTCATTACAAAATACAGGCTAAAAACCATGGTCATTATAAAAGATAGGCTTAAAACTGAGGTCATAGATACAAAACACAGACTTAGAAATAACAAGAGGCCCATGGGCCTAAATGGTCACTTGAGTAAATTCTGAAGTATTCAAATTGTAGCATGTTATTTTTTTCAAATTGGCACATAGTTACTTTGGAAACATCCTAGCCAATCACAGGCCAGGGTAGCCATCTGGAATTTTACAATCAGCAAGAAAAGTAACAAACTTGGTCAAAACCTCATAAGGAGCAATTCTACAAGTGAGAAGTCAATCAGTGTAACCTTTCTTGAGAAGAAGTCAAAAACATCTCGGTCAATAAGAGGTCAGGGTGACCATCTTGGATTTTCTAATCAGCACAAAGAGTAAGAACACTTGGTCAGAACCTCATAATGAACATTTGTAAAAATGAAGAAGTGAACTGCTGCAGAAAATCTTGAGAAGTCGAAACTTTCTCGACTCAGCAAATCAGAGGCCAGGATCGGCCATCTTGTATTCTCCAATCGACAGTAACTCTGCCAGTTACTGTCTGAGCAGGCGCATTTAATTTGCCAACTTGTTCGAGATCTTATTGATATAAAGCAGCATAGCAAAATTCATTGAAATCCATTCAAATTTACTCAAGTTATTGTGCTCACAAGCTCAAGTTCCAAAGGCTCAAATAGTAATTAAAAATTTCAAAATCCTATAACTCTGCCACTTACTGTCTGATCAGGACCATTTTAGAACTTGTCAGAGATTGTATTAATATAAAGCAGCATAGCAAAATTTATCAAAATTCATTTACTTTTACTCAAGTTATTGTGCTCACAAGATAAAAGTTAACGCACAATGACAGACGAAGACGAATGGCAATAGCAATATATAGGTCACCATGACCTATGGTCAGGTGATCTAAATATCAATGGGTAATATACATATACATCTATATATAAAACAACAGTTCAGAACTAATCATACCCAAAACACAAGCTCAGAACCACAGCCTTAAATACAATAACAGATCCAGAACCACAGCCTTAAATACAATAACAGGTTGAGAACCAAAGCCATAGAAATATAAAACACAAGCTCAAAACAGAGGATATAAATACAATAACAGGTCGAGAACCACAGCCATAGAAATATAAAACACAAGCTCAGAACAGAGGATATAAATACAATAACAGGTCCAGAACCACAGCCTTAAATACAATAACAGGTCCAGAACCACAGCCATAGAAATATAAAACACAAGCTCAGTACAGAGCCTTAAATACAATAACAGATCCAGAACCACAGCCTTAAATACAATAACAGGTTGAGAACCACAGCCATAGAAATATAAAACACAAGCTCAGAACAGAGGATATAAATACAATAACAGGTCCAGAACCACAGCCTTAAATACAATAACAGGTCCAGAACCACAGCCATAGAAATATAAAACACAAGCTCAGAACAGAGGATATAAACACAATAACAGGTCCAGAACCACAGCCTTAAATACAATAACAGGTCCAGAACCACAGCCATAGAAATATAAAACACAAGCTCAGAACAGAGGATATAAACACAATAACAGGTCCAGAACCACAGCCTTAAATACAATAACAGGTCCAGAACCACAGCCATAGAAATATAAAACACAAGCTCAGAACAGAGGATATAAACACAATAACAGGTCCAGAACCACAGCCTTAAATACAATAACAGGTCCAGAACCACAGCCATAGAAATATAAAACACAAGCTCAGAACAGAGGATATAAACACAATAACAGGTCCAGAACCACAGCCTTAAATACAATAACAGGTCCAGAACCACAGCCATAGAAATATAAAACACAAGCTCAGAACAGAGGATATAAACACAATAACAGGTCCAGAACCACAGCCTTAAATACAATAACAGGTCCAGAACCACAGCCATAGAAATATAAAACACAAGCTCAGAACAGAGGATATAAACACAATAACAGGTCCAGAACCACAGCCTTAAATACAATAACAGGTCCAGAACCACAGCCATAGAAATATAAAACACAAGCTCAGAACAGAGGATATAAATACAATAACAGGTCCAGAACCACAGCCTTAAATACAATAACAGGTCCAGAACCACAGCCATAGAAATATAAAACACAAGCTCAGAACAGAGGATATAAACACAATAACAGGTCCAGAACCACAGCCTTAAATACAATAACAGGTCCAGAACCACAGCCATAGAAATATAAAACACAAGCTCAGAACAGAGGATATAAACACAATAACAGGTCCAGAACCACAGCCTTAAATACAATAACAGGTCCAGAACCACAGCCATAGAAATATAAAACACAAGCTCAGAACAGAGGATATAAACACAATAACAGGTCCAGAACCACAGCCTTAAATACAATAACAGGTCCAGAACCACAGCCATAGAAATATAAAACACAAGCTCAGAACAGAGGATATAAACACAATAACAGGTCCAGAACCACAACCTTAAATACAATAACAGGTCCAGAACCACAGCCATAGAAATATAAAACACAAGCTCAGAACAGAGGATATAAATACAATAACAGGTCCAGAACCACAGCCTTAAATACAATAACAGGTCCAGAACCACAGCCATAGAAATATAAAACACAAGCTCAGAACAGAGGATATAAATACAATAACAGGTCCAGAACCACAGCCTTAAATACAATAACAGGTCCAGAACCACAGCCATAGAAATATAAAACACAAGCTCAGAACAGAGGATATAAACACAATAACAGGTCCAGAACCACAACCATAGAAATATAAAACACAAGCTCAGAACAGAGGATATAAATACAATAACAGGTCCAGAACCACAGCCTTAAATACAATAACAGGTCCAGAACCACAACCATAGAAATATAAAACACAAGCTCAGAACAGAGGATATGAATACAAAACACACCCTGAGTGTCATACCTATACACAAAACAACCACTCTGTACCATATATATATAAAATATAGGTATAAAACCAAACCAGTCAATTATACCAAATTACAGACTCCAAGCCACAGAACCATTGTCATGTATACATACAACAACACAGGTTCAGAGCCACATTGTACAGGCCAAAACATAGGATCAGTACCATGGTTATTTACACACAAAACATAGGATCAGTACCATGGTTATTTACACACAAAACATAGGATCAGTACCATGGTTATTTACACACAAAACATAGGATTAGTACCATGGTTATTTACACACAAAGTATAGTAAAGACCAAAAGTCAGTTCATTGTAACAAAAAGTTACTAAACAAACCTGTGGTTTGACAGTTGTTTCCTGTATACCCGCTGTTACAAACACAGAAAGCCGTGCCGTCTTCATCTTTACGACATTGTCCATGGCCACCGCACATGTCTTGGCAGTTGTCTGAAAAGAAACTTAATCTTAATTATTCTGTAGACCAAATACTTCCTTAACCCTTTCACCACTGTAGACCATAATGGACTCATCTAGATCAATATATGGTCGAGTCTACTAAAGTTACATAGGGGTGAAAGGGTTAAGCGTAAATATTGGACAAAACAAATGATCCGAAAAACCTTTACAAAAGGTCAATGGGTCATGACATTTTCAATTTTATGATATACTAGAATATCAATGATATGAAATGTTGATCGCCTGGCTTCAACTACAACGTCAATGACATAGATAAAAGTGACCAATACGAGTGACCAGTAGAAATGACCAATAGCAGTGACCAGTGCATACCTCTGCAGTAGGTGCTGTTCCCAGAGAAGCCAGTCCTACATTCACACCTGTACAGGTCTGGAAGATCTACACAGGTCGCATCCTGATGACAATCATCCAGGTGTAGTTTACACTCATCTACAGAGCCACTGATACACTGACTGCCTGAGGTGGACCCAGGGTGGATGGTGGTCATGCCCTTCCCACACTTCAGACAACTTGACTGACCAGTCTCAGGCTGGAAGGTTCCACGTTGACAGATCACACAACTGTTCGTGTCATTTCTGTATTGACCAGCTGGACACTCCACTGCAAACAAAGAAAACCATTTCAGTCCACAGGAACTTGGAACAAAACAGTTTAACACAGCTTTGTAGATACATATAGCAAGAAAATATTTTGTCATTTGAAAGTTTTACTGTCTTTACCATCACAGACCTCTTAAGGACTCAATACATTAAACAAGAGAAGTATTATTTATCTGTTACTGGACAATTATACAAGTTTCCCCCCACATATTTTGTGTACCATGCTCACCAACAGAGCAGTTGAGTCTGGAGACAGCCCCACTCCTTAGTGTTGTGTAGCCGTAGGGACAGGGAACACAGGCTAATAGGTCTACACTGTCGCGGTAGGTCCCCTTCTGACAAAGAACGCAAGTACCCGACACGGTCAACTCCTCCCCAACATCACATGCATCTGCAACACAAGAGCGGCACACCATCAAAAACATCCCGCAGCACCAGTATTGTATAGTAGACACATCACGAAAATTAATCTTCTCGCATAATTATATAGCATCAGTCTTATACATCAATTGACACAATACCAAACTTAATCTCATCACATAGCACCAGTGTTGTGCGACACGAAAGAAACATCACCAATCTTAGTCTGGTCACATAGCACCCAGAACCACAGCCTTAAATACAATAACAGGTCCAGAACCACAGCCATAAAAATATAAAACACAAGCTAAGAACAGAGGATATAAACACAATAACAGGTCCAGAACCACAGCAATCGAAATATAAAACACAAGCTCAGAACAGAGGATATAAATACAATAAAAGGTTCAGAACCACAGCCTTAATACAATTACAGGTCCAGAACAACGTACAGCCTTAAATACAATAACAGGTCCAGAACCACAACCATAGAAATATAAAACACAAGCTCAGAACAGAGGATATAAATACAATAAAAGGTCCAGAACCACAGCCTTAA